TGAATGTAGAACTATACTTTTCTAGTTAATTCATTTTCCATTAAGCCACCAGAGTTATTCAGTGGATAAAGAAAAAAGTTTTCAACAATTATTGCTCCAACAGCTGTCTATATATGTGGAGAAAATGTAATCTTGGTCCATAGCTCATACCACAAACAGAACAATTCAAAATACATAATAGCTCTAAATATAGAAGTTACAACTGTAAAATTCTTTTCAGGCACACTTAGGAGAAAATCTTAGTCAAGACCCAGAATATGGTAACCATAAAAAAAGAATTGAGAAAATAGATTTCATCAAATTTTTTTAAAAAATGCTTTTCAAAAGCCACGCACTGGGAGGAGATACTTGTAAAACATGTATGTACATAGGACTGGTATCCAGAGTTATATAAACAACTCTTCCAATTCAATAGTAAGAAGACAGAGAACCTAATGTTTAAAACGGGCAAAATATTTGAAGGGCCATTTCACAAACCATGATATGTGAGTTCTCTCCAGAAGATAACCAGCCATGTAATATGAAAAATACAGACATTTATTGAAGAAGATACAAGAAAATTGTCCGTAAGACCATGACACCTCAGTCCCCTTCGAAGTAGGCACCTTGGGACTTCACACAGTTCTCCCAGTCGCCATCAGCTGCCCCGTCATATTTTCCTGAATCTCAACAACGTTCTGGAAAGTCTTCCCTTTTAAAAGTGATTTTAGTTTTGGGAAAAGCCAGAACTCCCAGGGTGCCAAATCTGGGCTGTAGGGGATCTGAGTCACCTGGTGATTTGATGTTTTGCCAGAAATTCTGCACAAGATGTAATGCATGAGTGGGCATGTTGTCATGATGAAGCTGCCAATCATCAGTTGCCCATAGCTATGGCCTCCTGAATCATCTGAATAGTTTCTGCAGAGGAAACGCAAACTTTTATGCAGATTCCTTTCTCTACTTGCTCATTTTGAATGCAACGGCTACACAGTGCACATACTCACTTAATGTGTCTACCGCCTCCACTGACTTGTACAGCACAGTCATCATTGTTCACACATGCACATTCCAGTCCACTCTCCTTGGCTGCCAGGTTACATCAGTGTCATACAAACTGTTATTAATAATGTTTGGACTTTTTCTGGACAAACAACATACAAATAGCCAGTAAGCACATATAACAGTGTTTAGCGTATCGTCATCAGAGAGATCTTGTTGGATGACCATGACCGTGTTACATAACACTGCACAACACTCTCAATAGAGTGGAGAAAAATTAAAAGATTGAAACACAATACCAAATATTGGCAAGAATGTGGAACAATTGGAATTTTTATATGTTGACGGTGGGAGTATAAAATAGTACTAATAATTAACATCTGCGTGGCAGTTTCTTAAAAGTTAAGAATAAAACTACCCTAGAATCCAGCAGTTCCATTCTTAGTTATTTACCAATAGGGGGAATGAAAGAAAGAATGTTAACAAAACCTATTGTACTGAGCATTCATAGTAGTTAAAAATTGGAAAAAACCCAATGAGAAAATTGTGGTGAATCCAAACAGTAAAATGTTGCTCAGCAATAAAGTAAGTATAGACTGCTGGTAAGTGAAATACCATGGAAAAGCTCGAAAACATTCTATGCAAAAGAAGCCAGACACAATAGAGTACAAACTAATCTTTACAGAAAGAAAGCAGAACAGTGGTTACATAGTGAATGGGTGAGGGGGAAAGGATGAGCTGGGTGATGAAAATGTTCAACATCTTGGCTCATTTGGATCTATGCAATTGTCAAAAATTCTTCAAACCGGAAGCTTTAGGTTCATGTATTTTACTGAATGTAAATTATTACCTCAACAAAATAAGTGATATTGGAGAAGAAAATAAGATATAAGTAAATACTATTGTTAGTAAAAAATAATTATGGAAATATAATTTACTGTTTATTTCCCAAAAGATTTTTACGAATTTTATTGCTTACCTTACAATACCAATGGTATCTTAAAATCAAGAAATTATAGTACAGTATTATCTATTTTACTCCAACATTTTTTCCAGATTTTACTAACTCCTAACTATTTTTACAGCCTTTTCTGTAAATGCTTTGAAAGTGGCATAGATAATTATTGGGCTAAAATTCTAGGAGGCCACTCTGGGAAACACCTCAATAGTTCCTTTTAAAGTTAAACATAGATTTACTGTCCAGCTCAGCAGTCACCCTCCTGGAGTATGATTTTTAAAATTTATCTCAGAGAAATGAAAATGTATGTTCACACAAAAACCTGTATGTGAATGCTCAGAACAACTTACCTGTAATATTCCCAAACTGGAAAAAATTCAGATGTCCTTCAACGACTGAAGGATAAAGAGACTGTAGTATATCCATATAAAGGAATATTACTTAGCACTAACTACTGATATAAACAACTTGGATGAAAAAAGTCAATCTCAGAGGGTTGTGTATTATATGATTCCATTTATATAATACTCTTGAAATGACAAAATTATTGTAATATGAAACAGCAGTGATTGCTAGGGATTAAGGTTGGAGATAGAATGTGATTATAAAGGGATAACATGAGAGACTTTTTTTATGATGTAACAGTTTTATATTCCAATTTGCATGGTGGTTATATGAATCTATACCTGTGATAAAAATGCCATAGCACTATACACACACACACACACACAAATTGCATATAAAAACTAGTGGAATCTGAATGTCTCTGGTTAATAGCATTGTACCAATGTCAGTTCCCTGGATTTTATAATGTTCTATGTCTATGTGTAAGAAAGGGGAAAGCTCTGTGAAAGGCACATGGGATTGCTCTGGGCTAATTTTGCAACTTCTTGTTAATCTTTGTTTTCTGCCACTGTACTCAAGGCTGTGATAAAAATACTTGTGTATTTATGTATCCTTTTTATTTGTGTGTTTGTGCATTGTTATATATTAAAATTTTTATTTTTATCAAGTAAAATCTCAAGAGTGGATTGCTTGGTTAATGGGAATGTATAGTTTTAGTTTTAATGAATATTACCTGAGTCTTTTTCAAGAACACTGGTTTAATTCACACCAGCAATATTTTAGTCCCCACTGCTCAGCTTCTCCAATCCAGAATAGTATTGCTTCATTTAATGACAAAGAATGTAATTTTATTCACATTTTTTCCCCTGACCACTAATTTGAGTATATTTTTACATGTTTGCTCTTTGCATTTTCTATATTGAATAGGTATGTTGCCTGTTTCTATCCTTTACCGCATTTTCTTTTTTTGATTTTTAGCAACTCTTTGTGTTGGGTTAGCCAAAAGTTCGTTTACTTTATTCCATATGGTGATTCTAATAATGCTTAGTTGTCTTCAATGGCATTCAAAACAATTTTGTTAGATTGTGTTGTGATAGCTGTCATATCAGTGTTCTTTTTTTTAATTTACTAAAATTGGTGAATTTTTGTGCAGCCATTTTAATAGTGAAGATGGAAGATAAGTAACATTTTTGGCATGTTACGCTTTACCATTTCAAGAAGATAAAAATGTAACTGAAATGCAAAAACAGATTTGTGCAGTATATGGAGAAGGTACCATGATTAACTGAATGTGTCAGAAGTGGTTTGTGAAGTTTCTTTGTACTATTGATGTTTTTGCCAAATAATTCTCTGCTGTGGGGCTGTCTTATGCACTGGAAGATGTTTACCAGCACCCCTGGCCTCTACCGAGTAGAAGCCAATAGTTGGAGATAGCTGACATACTCAAAACATCCAAATCAATAAAGTTTTGGTGAACGTGAAAAATGTCTTTTATTTTATGGAAAAAACCATACAGACTTTTTTGCCAACCCAATATAGTAGGAATATTCTTTTCCAAATTTGGCATTTGTCTCCTGATTTGCATATGACATCTTCTGTCACTTTTTTTTTTAACATAAAAATATCTTTTCCCTTAAGACTGTTAAGGTTTTCTTGTCTTAAATAAGAATTTATCACTCCAAATTATTGATACTCCTAGATTTTCTTTCCTTTTTTTGTTTTAGATTGTATTTATTTAGTTTTAGACAGAGGGGGAGGGAGGGAAATAGAGAGGGAAACATCAGTGTGTCATTGCCTCTTGCGCATCTCCTACTGGGGACCTGGCCCTCAACCCAGGCATGTGCCATGACTGAGAATTGAACCAGTGACACTTTGGTTCTCAGGCTGGTACTCAATCCACTGAGCCACACCAACTAGGACTCCTACATTTTCTTTTAATACTGTTATTGTTTTATTACTCTGACTTTTTTGTTACTCTGATGCTTTTGTATATGGCATGAAGTGGGCAGTGTATGTGCTTTCTTTCCCCAGCTGGATAGCTAGTTATGACAACACTATCATTTAAATATTCAAGTACTATGATCTTGACACCTATTTGCATTTGCTTTTGAACTCTATATTCTGTTTTTCTGGCCTGTGGTTCTCTTGTTGTATCAGTACTAAAAGGTTTTGATTACAGTAGCTTCATAAAAAATGATAGGATCTGGGGACAGGTCCCCAGTTACTTTTGCAGTTCACACATTGTTCCCTACGAACACTCACATCATTCTGTCCTTTAAATATGTTTTAAACCATTTCAATTCTGATTGGGATTGTGTTAAATGTAAGATAATTTGGAAAGACAAACATTCCTGTACCATTGCAGAATTTGTAAGTAAGAGACTAATGCTCTGTGAATTATGATAAACTATAATAATGATAAATTTACATTTAAAATTTGATTCTCTGCTGTTCTTGTGCATGCTTTACTGACTACTGTTGGAGTAATAGTTCAGAGGAATTTGCAGAGGCAAGTGATAGTTTAACAATATTCAAATCCTTTGAAACAGTGAATAATAGCACTTTAGTTTTTCATGTGATGAAATGAGAAGCAATTACATTAGTTAAGATTTTTGTTTTTCAAGAACACAGTTCTGTGTACTGAGCAGAAAGATTTATCTTGTATGTTGAAATTACAGAATTTTTATACTTTTAACGTCTCTTCAATCTTTACATTCAGAAGCGATTGTTGGAAGCCATGGAGATGTGTAACCGCTCCCTCACAGAAGAAGAGAGGAAGAGAAACCAACATAGTGAGTGCGTAATGTGCTGGTATGATGGGGGCACAGAGTTCACCTACCCCTCTCCATGGCCAGAAAAGTTCCCTGCCATAGAACGATGTTGCACAAGGTAATATTATTTGGTAATTTTTCAAAAACTTGCAGAGCTTCCCTCTGCCCACACCAGAAATTGTTTGTGTAGTCCTCTGCTTTGGTCAGATTCTGCCTCCATCCTCTGTTAACTTTTTAAAAAATGTTTCCCCCTTAGTGTATACTAAGTAGTATAAGGGTGAATAATACGGAAGGCATCTGTATTATTATTCAAAAGAATGTGTGAATTTTTGTTTCCATTGCCAGTTTCTGTTCCCAGCATTTTTTTTGACATGCTATAACTTTGGCACAGCCAACCAACGAGAAAAAAGAAAAAAAGAGTTCCTCCTTTTCTTACCCACTTCTTCTCTATCTTTCTCATTAAAACATCTTCCTTGTTTTTTTCTCTTTTCTTCCTGCCAATAATGCATTTAGATGGCTGTCAAGTTGCAGATAAAGTGAACATCTCTCAGTTATGATTTTTTTTTTCTTTTAAAACAAAGAGATAGATGAATAGATACACCATAAAACCCATTATAAAATGTTATTTTCCATTCTGGGTTTTGGCGGATGGAGGATATGGAGAGTTATGATATACTTAACATGGCCCTTTATTTTTTTAAAATAATTATATACAGTTTTGTTTATATACATATAGTTTGTATCAAATTTTGTTTTGTTTTAAATGAATTGGGAAAACTTCCATTCAGTAACTTACAGGCATGATTGTGTGTATCTGCACCAGTAACAACACAATCTGGATTGTCCTGCTCTCTGTTTTCTTTGTTTGTGAGGGTGAATTGTCATTGCCTTGTTTAAAAGCAAGATGACTCTTGCAAAATATTCAAGGGGGTGCTGAAAAACTGTGATTGCTTATAATGTATGAATTTTAAATTAAATGCCTTGATTTATTTTTTTAGGTATAAAATAATATCATTAGATGCTTGGCATGTAGACATAAGCAAGAACAAAATAACCAGGGTTGACCAGAAGGCATTATATTTCTGTGGATTTCCTACTCTGAAACACATCAAACACAAAGTCAGTGGCTATTTAGTTCAGAATTTAAAAAAAAATTTTTTATTGAATATGAAGTGATTATGGAGAAAGAATTAAAATGAAATTTCCTGAAATTTTTTAAAGTTTTTTTTGAAGAAAAGTGCGGTTCAAGTATTCCAGCAAAGCAGCCGTGGAGAAAACATGATGTTGGAAATCTTAGTGAATGCAGAATCAGATGAACTTGTAAGTATTTTCTTTATTATATATTTATTAGGTGCTTACTATGCATAAAACTGTCCTAACTGCAACATGTTTATCAAAGAGGTGTAAGTAATAACTATGTAAGTTCACAGTAAATGAGGATAAAGTAAGGAAACATTTACACCAATAAAGGACATGTATAATTGTGACATAGTGAGAAAAAAATGTTCTAGGAACTTTGAAAAGGAGATGAGCAATGTGAGCTAAGACTTATGGATGAGAATAGGCTTGAGCTGGGCGCTAAAGAAAGATTGTCGCAAAGAGCAAAAAAGGAGGGGAGAGGTATTCTAGTTGAAAGAATAACATGATCTGGGAATAGTCAATAAATGTGATACATTATCTTACTGTTTTTAACCTTCTTGATGTCTGAAATTTCTCTTAATACTTTTTCTTTTCAAATAAATGTGATATATTTAAGCAGACGGAATAGATAAACCTTACTGAAACAGATGACTTTTGTGTTGGGAAATAGTGGAAGATAATGTTGAAAACACAGTTTAAGGCCAGATTATGGAGGGCCTTGAATACCAGGCTAAGGAGTTTGGACTTTTTTTCCATGGGTGTTATCTGGAAATCGGAATTTTCTTAAAGATTAATTTGGTGGCAGTATAATAGAGTAAACTGCACAAAAGAGAGGTGGGAAAAAAATGGAAGAGCCTTCAAATTCAGAGGTTGTGGTTATAGAGGCATTAGGTAATAAGGGCGTAAACTGTGGAAGTGGTAATAGATCTAGCTAGATGGGGGATTTTCTGCCTTTTTCATCTAATGGACACATAAACTAATTACTAAAATTCTGTAGCACACCAAAAAATACATTTTTTGCCAATCTGACAAAAATATAATTTTGATTCATTCACACCAATGGCTATTGTTGTGTTGGCTGTTGTCATTTTTTAATTTGACAGTCTAAGGGAAAAGAGGTCAGTGCCCCTGACTAAATAGTCAGATATTGCATGTTTTAAAAATTTTTGTGGCACACCAGTTGAAAATTCCCGATCTAGATGAACAAGACTAAATAAAATTGACATTTGATCAATAGTTCAAGTCTAGGGGTTGAAAAACAGAAGAAAATATTAAATATGACTCTCAGGATCCAGGTAATTAATAGGAGGTAATTGCTGTTTACTGGAATAAAGAAGTTAAAATAGGAGAGTCCCTGGTATGTGGAGATTAATGATAAATAGTGATAGAATTTTAAGGTGGTACTAGGACTTAGGAAGAGCAGCCCTGCCAGCCTTTCTCAATAAGGGTTCCACAGAGATTTAAGCCCTAAGGCCCTAAGTCATCCATTTGTATATCATGGATTAACTTACCTTCAGTGTATTTAGAATGGTATATCCTTTATTGAGAAAATGGTCAAGTTGTTTATAGCATTCTGAACTTTAGGTGAAAAACTAGAGCTTAGAGGGAGATAGGTATATATAGATACCAGTAAGGAGGTGATGGCTGAGACCTTGGGGGTCATTTCCCTGAGGAAGAGGAACTTTGAGGACTGAAGGCCTCAGCATCAAGAAATACCAACAGTTGTAAAGGTCGGGAAAGGAATAGTAAAAGTGACGTAGTGTTCTGAGAGGTAAGAGAGAATGATTCCCAAATTAAGTAGTGTCACAGATGGATGGAATGGATGCTGCCTACAGTTCAAGAGTAAACGCTAAAACAAGGTCTGAATTTGTGCTTTGGGCATCATTGTTGACCTTTGAGAATTCCATTCTAAAAGGTTGGTGGAGGCTGGAGTCCAGATCCTAAGGATTAGTGTGGGTCTGTATAGATGGAAAGTAGAGGTAGCAGGCATTAAGACCTTCGTTAAGAAGTTTATCATTTAAAAGAAGTCCAGAAACAAAACTGTAGATAAAGAAGAGGCAGCTCATCAAGCAAAATTCACATAGAAGAGGGAGAAAGCTAGTGGCAAAAGGAGGTAGGTATTAAAGATACTGTAGAGGAAAGGGACTTCTACTGATAACAAGACCCCATTTCTGGTTAGGAGGGATTTTGTCTAAGGCTTAAATAAAAGGATTAATCTGGGAAAGTTAGGACAACTTTTCCTTCAAAAACTAAAGGAAAGATTGAGGGAATGAAATTAGAAATAGATGTATAGATGGAAGAGAAAAGAATAATTAATAGAGCCTAGTTCTAATGTTGAAACTTTTATTTATCAGAATAGTCATTCTGTTGTATGTTCACATTAAGTAATGTCTAAATATAATCAATAAAAGTAAGTTACCACGAAAAACTCTAAAAATAGTCCTCTCTGATTGTTAAATAAATATTTGCCAATAATGATCAAGCTTAATTAACAGAAGTAAATGAATGAAAATTTGTGTTTAAACTTCAGTTTCTACTATGAAGTTGTTGTCTAACCTACTGATTAGACAAAGATAAAAATGCTTTTTCTTAAGCCTTGGCTTGTGTGGCTCAGTGGATTGAGTGTCGGCCTGCAAACTAAAGGGTCTCCAGTTCAATTCCCAGCCAGGGCACATGCCTGAGTTGCAGGACAGGTGCCCTGTAAGGGGCATGTGAGAGGCAACCACACATTAATGTTTCTCTCCCTCTGTTTCTCCCTCACTTCCCCTCTCTAAATATAAAGTCTTTTAAAAAAATTTTTTTTAAATATATATATTTTTTACTACAATTTTTACTTAAATATTATTTCATATAGCCTTGGCCACAGTCGCTTGATTGGAGTGATGTCCTGTAACCGAAGGGTCCCCAGTTTGATTCCCAGTCAGGACACATGCCCAGGTTGCGGGCTTCATGCCTGGTTGGAGTGCATGCAGGAGGCAGCCAGTCGGTGTTTCTCACATTGATGTTTCTCTCTGTCTCTCTCCTTTCCCCTCTCTCTCAAAGGAGAATAAAGTAAACCTTTAAAAATACATATATTTCATATAGAATATTTATACCATTTAATAGTATGTCAAAGCTTTTTGTATATATTATTTTATTTTATCTGCAAATAAACATTGTGAGGTAGACATTATTCCTTCCTCTTATAAAAGAAAACTGAGACTTAGTGGGATTAAAGGAGTCACCTAAGAATCTGTAGCTGAAAACAGGTAGAACCCAAATTTGGACCCCTGATTTCCTAACTTGAAGACTAGTGTTTTATTTCATTATACCAACCACTCAGTGAAAAGAAATCATTTCTTGGGTTCTGTTTTACACTATTTGACTATTTGATATGAAACAATGACTAATAATAGTCCTTTTCTAGACATTTCTGCTGTTTTTTAAAAACTAATTTCCATAAGAAAAATAAACAAGATAATCATGAAAATAATGGAATCATAGAATATTATAACTGGGTGGAATTTTGTAAAAACTCAACTCATTAATTTTACAAATTAAAAATCTTAAATGGAGATTGCAAAAGGGACTTTCAGTCAGCTAGTAAACAGCAGAACTAGGAACTTTAGTTTCTTGCTAAACATTATTTCTGCTAATGTCGGCTATTATTATGGACAGTAATGTATTGTAGGTCGGTGATCTTCTGTTTGATTTTACTGAAACATAGTTTCTCAGCAAGTAATTTCATTCAGAATTAAAATCAGAGGGTCACTCTACTAGTAACTGCCAGTGCTGTTGAAAATATGGGTAAGAGGCAAGATTCCTAATGTCATGTACTTGTAAATCAGTCATATTGCCTCTCTATTAAGAAGAGGTTGGCAGAGAGGAAGGTAAACTTGTTTAACTTTTACAGATTCATACTAAATTAAAGGACAAAGAAAGGCGTGCAGGTAAAAACAATTGGAAACTAGTTTTTCAAAAAAGGAAAGGAAAATTTAAAATCTAAAAAATCCCAGAAATCCTGAAGAATGTACTAGAAAGAAAATAGTAGTTAGCAATTAAGGTACAACTTAGAGAAAACTAACTGAACTTCAGTGGATGCAGTGATTAAGTTGGAGTAATGTTGAGAAGAGCAGCAGAACTGAGAACTATAGGGAATAGATATTATAGGGAATAATTGGCTTGAATGAACAAAAGGTATATCTGTTTTAATAATGTGGAGTTTTTTTTATAGATTTTTAAATACATAGTTATAAACACAGTCCAGTTTTTAATTATATAATAATGCTGCTTTAAAATTTTCTCCTGGACCTGAAATATAAATGAATTTTTCTGCTTTTACTTTAAGAGTATAGAAAATGTTGCTTCATCAGTGCTTGGAAAGTCTGTCTTTGTTAATTGGCCTCATCTTGAAGAAGCTAGAGTTGTTGGTGTATCAGATGGAGAAACCAAGTAAGATTTGATTTATAATTTTAAAAAATTTATATTTGCTTTGCTACTTAATGGCTTTTACTGATACTTTAATTGATATAATTATTATAAAAATATTCATACTATATAGTGATAATGAAAGTCCTCTAATCACACCACTTGAAGTTCAACCACTGTTGATAGTTTATTGTACATCCCTTGAGATGCTTTAGGTGCATATATTATTTTTTCCCTTTTGCCTTCTTTCCTTTTAATAGCTTGGAAGTTCTATGGCCTAGTTCTTTTCTACCAGTTATCATTATATTATTTAACATCTATATTTCTATTAGTAACAAGAAAGCATATATATAACCTTACCTTTACTATACCCCTTCTAGATTTCTTTTAAATAATACATTTTTAAAACAGTATTTAAAATTTTTTTAACATTTTATTTAAGTTTACAATCATTTTATCAATGATTATTTAAACAAGTTATTCTTTATCTTTTATTTTTATTTCATGTAAACTTGGTCTGATTTCTTATTTTATTTTCACGTGTCTAGAATTTTCTAAACTAATTTTTTTTTTCAGAGAAAATGAGGGGATGTTACATTTTCTTTTTTTTTTTTAATTTTATTTATTAAATTTTAGAGGGCAGGGGAGGGAGGGGGAAAGAAAGGTTGAGAAACATCAATGTGTGGTTGCTCCCACACCCGCAACCGGGGACCTGGCCTGCATCCCAGGCATGTGTTCTGACTGGGAATCAAACCAGCAACCCTTTGGTTCGCAGGCCAGTGCTTAGTCCACTGAGCCACACCAGCCAGGATGAGATGTTATATTTTCTAAGTTATTACATGTCCAAAAGATCTGTTTTGTTTTCCTCCCACATAGGTTTAGAATTATAGAGGCCCAGTTATTTTTCCTCAGATCTGTGCAAGCATATCTTAATTATGTTCTATCATGTAACTTTCTTGATGAGAATTTAATAACTATGAATTTTTCCTTTGTGGGTATCTGCTTTTTTGTATGAAATTGTGAGGATTCTTTTTTAATCATCAGAATTCAGTCCGCTTGCCTGTTTGATGAAGTCCATTTTATTAGTTTTTTTCCTTTAATGGATCATGCTTTTTGGTCTAAGAATTCTTCACATAGCCCTAGGTTCCCAAGAGTTTCATCTGTGTTTCAAAAAGTTTTATAGTTTTATTCCTCCTTTTACATTTAAACCCATGATTGGTTGTGAATTAATTTTTATATAAGTATGAGGTTTAGGTCAAGGTTCATACATTTGCCTATGAATATTCAGTCGTTCCAGCATCATTTGTTGAAAAGGCTATTCTTCCTTCATAAGATTGCTTTTACACCTTTCTCAAAAACAGTTGAGCACAGTATGATTTCACTTACATGTGGAATCATAAAAACAAACAAAACAAAAACAGTCTCATAGATTCAGAGAACAAACTGATGGTTGCCAGATCGGAGGGAGGTTGGGGAGCTGGGGAAATAGGTGAACAGATTGATAGTTACAGAATAGTCATGGGATATAAAGTAGAGTATAGGAAATACAGTCAGTAATATTATAATAACTATGTATGGTGCCTGGTGGGTACTAGACTTATTAGAGGGATCACTTTGTAAATTATATAAATGTCTAATCACTATGCTGTACACCTGAAACTAATATGATAATATTGAATGTCAACTCTAATTGAAAGATTTAAAAAAAATTGAGTTGAGCACATTTGTGTGGATCTACTTCTGAATTCTCCATTCTGTTTCATTGATCTGTATGTCTGTTTTTATGCCAGTACCACACTGTCTTGTTTACTGTAGCTGTGTAGTAAGTCTTAACCTTAGGTAGAGTTATTCTGTCCACCTCATTTTTATTTTTCAAAATTATTTTAGCTTTATGGTTCTTCACCTTTCCATAGAAATTTTAGAGTAAATTGTTCTATAGCTGCAAAAATTATGGAGAGATTTTGATAGGAATTGTATTAAACCTATAAATTAATTTGGGGAGATTTGACATCTTTACTGTGTTGAGTCTTCTGACCCAGTGGGTCCATTCATGAGTGTTTTGTTTTTCAGCATACACATCCTGTACATGTTTTGTTAGCTTTATATATCAGTATTTAAATTACTTTGGAGCAACTATAGATTGTATAATGTTTTAAATTTCATTTTCCCCATCTAGTATGTAGAAATACAATTAATTTCTGTATGTTCATTTTTATATCCTGGGACCTGGCTGAACTTAGTTCCTGGCCTTTTTTCTTAAAGGGTGCAAGCCAGTTATTTTGTAGCATTCTGGATTTACTTGGTTGTTTCCTCTTAGTGTCATTTAAGTGGGTCCTCCATCCCTCATATTCCCTGTGAACTAGAGCTCGGTATGGTGGCTTGTAGAATCAAGTTAAACCTTTTTAACAAAAATACTTTATAGAATTTGAGAGTACTTTTTAATCTTTATATTTTTGTAATATGTATTAGTTGAGTTTCTTAAGAAAGTAGTTTGAAACTTATACTACAGTTTTTAAAAAGAAAGCTTTTTTTGCTACTCTACCATGTTAGAAGTCTTTTAACTTTGAAGGTTTATACTGCTGGAACTCAATTAAAACACAGATTTTGGGGTAATACAATTTTTCTTTTAATTTTTAAGGTTTTACTTGGAAGAACCTCCAGGAACACAGAAGCTTTATCTGGGAAGAACTGCTCCACCATCTAAAGTAGTTTATCTTGGGGACAAAGAACAATCTAACTGGACCAAAGAAGTACAAGGAATTTCAGAATAGTGAGTGTCATAAAAAGTATTTAATATTATAGAACTGGAATGGGAGCTAATGTACTTACCCTCTAACTTATTTTCCACTTAACATAGTAATCACTCTGAATACTGACTACATCCTCATTTTGTGTTCTAAAGAAAGTAATGAGTTCTAGTTTAAAATAATACCTGGGTAGCAGCAGATAGAGCCTTGCCCAGTTAATCACTGAAATACTTCATTATGTACTGAAATAAAAGAAAAAAAAAAGAAAAGACGTGATTGCTTAATATGAGGAATAACAGTGACTAGATTGTTGCCTGTATTTGAGAGTTAGGTTTTACTAACCAAAAGGCCATTGAATTTCTTGGTCACATCTAAGTAATGAAACTAGGAAGAAAGACTGTCCTTTGTTCTTACCTTATCTCTCTATGCACTCTCCCTCCACCCAAGCCCCATATGCTCGTGAATTCAGAAATACAGGGTTTGTACCACTTAGAAGGTAACCCTTCTCAGAATGCTACATTTCAGGGTCACCAGAGTGCTTTGTGTCCCATGATCCCACCCTAACAGTACCTCTCTTTGTTCATCTAAACACTAGGATTTCCTAAACCAAAACAGAATAATAGAGACTGGCAGTGGCACATGAAATGGTGTTATAAATATATATCCATCAGCCTTCTTGTTTAAACTGCGGTAGCATCCATTGAGAAATGGGGAAATCAAGGAGACACCTCTTCTACAATTATGGATCTAATTCCAGGCTAAAATATCCTTATTCAAAGATGAATAAACAGGGAGAATCTGAAAAGACCATAAAAAAACTATCTACTATAAATGAAGGAGATAAATACAGCCCTCAGGGTGGAGGTAGAGCATATTTTTGCCTTCCAACAGTGTAAGTCAGATACCCTGTTACAGCTTTTATCTTTCTGAATTTATTTATAGCACAAATATTTGTATTTCTTGTAATATCTTCGTCAGCTATTGATAACAAGAGCACTCACATAATAACATTTGAGTGAAAGTGATAGAAAAATGCCATTGAATTTTTAGAAAATGGTACCAGAATGCTGTATTTCAAAAGTTCGTTGGAAAAGTTTGTTTCTGGCTAAGATGGCATGTCTTATTTCAGAGTGACCCTACCATTAAGGACAAAACATATAAGTATCTATAAAATACATAATGTTACTTTACATATACTACATATAACATTATATAGTATATATTATATAATATATGTATTTATATATAAACATAACAAAAGTTAAAATTATGATTGCTGTAATGAGCACAATAGATGGTCTAAATAATAATAAGTGCATATTAAAAACTGAATCAGTGGACTAAAAGACCAGCTGAGGGATTCCATCAGCACCTAGTAAAAAGAACTGTGAGATGAAAAATGTATAATCAGAATTTCTAATATCTACCTGACAGGAATTCTAGAAAGAAAAAATAGAAAGGAGATAAGAAAATATCCCTCAGATGATGAATGATTGTATCTTCAGATCAGGGGCCAGCAAAACTTTGCTGTAAAGGTCTGACAGTAAATATTTTAGGCTTTGTAGACCTTACACTGTTTGTCATGACTACTCAACTCTGCTATTGTAGCATAAAAGCAGCCAAAGACAGTAAATAAATGAATGACTATGTTCCAGTAGAATTTTATTTATAGGAATAGGAGGCAGTCTGGATTTGCCTCAGGGCTGTAGGTTGCTGACCTCTTCTTTAGCTTGAAAAAGCCTGCTGAACACCCCTTCAAACTTTCTCTGTCTATCTGGATTTACCTCTTCTGGATGGTTCATATAAATGAAATCATACATGTGACTTTTAGTGTCTGGTTTGTTTCCCTTAGCATGTTTCTGAAGATCATACACATTGTAGTGTGTATCAGTAGTCATTTCTTTTGATGGCTACTGATTTATCCATTGTATGGATATACCACGTGTTGTTTATCCATTCATATGTTGGTGGACATTTGGATTGTTTCTACCTTTTTACTGTTGTGAATAGTGATGCTATGAGCATTTATGTATAAATATGTAAGTATCTGTTTCTAGTTCTTTGGATAGATACTTAGAAGTAGAATTGCTGGACTATATGGCAGTTCTCTGTTTAACTTTTAGAGGAACTGCCAGACCGTTTTACATAGCGACTGTATCGTTTTACTCTTCCACCAGCAATATATGTGTTACAGTTTCTCCACATCCTTTCCAACACTTGTTTTCACTCTTAGTGATATGTAGCCTTCTGAAGGGTGAGAACACAGGAGTTTCTTATAGCTGAGTTCTCACTTAATTTCACAGACATTGGAAGATGTATCCATGGAGTAAAAAACAAACAAAAAAACTAATGCAAGAGTCTTAAGTTAGGCACTCAGAACTGTTAGTATGTTTGTTTAAAATTTATATAAGCTCTAATAGATGAAGGTTGGGATGATGATTCTCATCCTAAAATATATATATACTCATACATCCTGTGTCTTTTTTATTCTTTCCTTTAGCTACCTGAGAAGAAAAGGAATAATAATAAATGAAACATCTGCAGTTGTATATGCTCAGTTACTCACAGGTCGTAAATACCAAATAAATCAAAATGGTGAAGTTCATCTAGAGAAACAGTGGTCAAAACAAGTTCTTCCTTTTGTTTATCAAACTATTGTTAAGGTAAGTCTTCGTCAGGTCTCAGTTCTGTCTTAGTGTTCACTGTCACACTGTGTAAAGAAAAGACTAATCAAATTAACATTCATTTATAAATAGAAGAGTAATGTAGCAGTGTTTAGTGGAGACTATTATATAATTTCCAAAATACTACTGTTTTTAAAAGGAGTATTACGTACTCAGAGACTTCGTGGTTAGGAACTAGTCTTTTTAATTCATTTGTTAACTTACTCTCTAAAAGAAAAATCCCAGGCTTAACTTATACCCTTGCATTTTTAGATTTTTATTCTCCAAAAAAAGAAAAAGTTTGCCTTAAATAAATTAGTAAATGGAAAAGGCAGTTGTGTTTGTAATCTTAGATGTGGACCAGGGACACAGTTTTTTTAAAGCATGTAGCAATACTGTAATTTTGGGGAAACAGTATAGTGAGGGTGATTAAGAGCACAGACTTCCTAGCTGTATGACCTTGGGCAAAATTCACCCCCTTTCTGTGCCTTAGTTTCCTCGTCTGTAAAGTGGGGCTAAGATGACCTGACTGGTGTGTCTCAATAGATTAAACGCTGGCCTGTGAACCAAAAGGTCACTGGTTCAATTGCTGGTCAGGGACATGTCTGAGTTGCAGACCAGGTCCACAGTAGGGTGCGTGCAAGAGGCAACTAATCAATGTTTTTCTCCCTCTCTTTCTTTCCTTCCCCTCTCTCTAAAAACAAACAAATAAAATCTTTAAAGGAAAAATAAACTGGGGCAAATAATAGTCTCTGCCACAGAGGGTTGTCTTAGGCATTAAATGAATTTATAAATATATGAAGTACCTAGAACGTATCTGACATATAAGCAGTTAATAAATTTTACCTACTACTATTGTTACGTACACATTCTTTAAATTTGACATTTATAGATAGCACAACTGTAATCCCATAGGAAAAAAAGTTGGTGTGCATTCTCTAGAAATTTTGATTATGATGATTTACTTTTATATTTCATTCTGTATAGGACATCCGAGCTTTTGATTCCCGTTTCTCCAGTATCAAAACATTGGATGACTTGTTTCCTCCTAGAAGTATGGTCTTTATGCTGGGGACCCCCTATTACGGCTGTACTGGAGAAGTTAGTTCCTGTTACTGTTAATAATTTTTTTTTTCTGGTTTGAAGTTAATACAATTCTTTAACTTCTCTTCATTTAAAATAAAAAGTAATATTGAAGGGGAAAAATAAGAACAAATTCTTCATCTAACTAATGAACATAGTATTTGACTTTGTATCTTTAGTCTTGAGTAGGTTGGGGTCTGGAGATGGGGAGAAAAAAAAATCAGATCTTGCTCTCTTTAGTGATATATTGTGGTGGTATATATGAATCAATTCTAAAGTTATTTTAGATGTATTATTGGGTTGATGAAATTGTAAATGTGTTGATGTTTTGGGGAAGTCCAGTTCTCATGTGGAAAAAAGTACATGCAAATAGACATGTATGCCTCTATATACACTTATTTTCTAGCTCTATTTGCACAAAAGGGTAAGAAGCAAAGACACTGGTAGCAATGAACACATGTAATGCCCAGATTTTGACCTGTTATACCATATCCCACTAAAAAGAACAGAACTTCTCAGAGAAATGGTTGACTACAGGGCTGAGGCAGGGTAGGTATAAGATGAGCCTGACCCTGAAACCTCTTCTTATATCAGAAAGTAAGGAAGTGTTCAAAAGAATGATCTTTCTTTTCACATAGTCACAGGAACCAGGTTTAAGGGGCTCCTGCTGGTCAAATCTGGGACAGTTTGAATATCAAAATAAGTACAGTAATGAATTATAAATCATTGATGTGGGAGATAGGAATTTATAATTTCTTAGTGATAAGTAAGTAGGGACGGGAAGAGCTCTTGCTTAGAATATTCTGTCAAGGGTAAATGTGAAGATAGTGCTGGAGGTGGAAACTGTCATTTTACAACCATTAGGATATAGGTTGAATTAGGCAACAGTCATCTTTGGAAGCTAAATCTTAGGGGAAATTTTTGATCAGGAGTGGGATGTTTTCATAGTCTTGAAAGCATTTTCCCACAAATTGTTTATTAGTTTTGAGGGCAACAAAAAAAACTGTAATTGTACAGTGAAGAAACTGAGCAACATCTTAATGGCATGATCAAGGTTAATATTATGATGAGGGTCAGATACACATATTCATTATGTCATGTACCTCCAGATTTGATATTCTAAGAAGCACACATCATCTGTGCACTATTTTGGCTCTGAATATTAAATAACCGTAAGCTAATCACAAGGAGGCATCAGAGAAGTTCAAAATCAGTAACCTTTTTATTTTTATTTTTTTAAAGGCAGGGTGGAGAGGGAGGAATGAACTGTATTCTTCAAAATGACAATGTTATGAAAGAGAAAGAAAAGGTCTGGATATACTCTAGATTGAAAGAAGTGAAAGAGATATGACAACTAAATGCAGTATCTGATCATAATCTGGATCCTATAGTAAAGGGAAAAAAGTATTTTTAAAAAGGACATTTTTAGATCAACTGACAAAATAGGACTGTGGACAGTTTAGATAAAGGTACTTTATCAATGTAAATTTTGTACTTAATAATTGTACTGTGATTATATAATGAAATATCCTTCTTAGGAAATAGACACTGAAATATTTAGGGGTAAGCAGCACAGTGTGTGCAGTATACCCTCAGAAGGTTCAGAAAAATAATTATGTATATTGAAATATACATGCAGAGCACCAATGTTAAAACAAGTTCAAGAAGATGTTAACAAGTAGGTTAATCTGGGTAAATGTTTTTCAAGTGTTCTTCTACCTGTTTTAGCAACTTTTTGATAGTTTGAAATTATTTGCAAATTAAAAGTTAACTTAAAAAAAGACTGAGCATCCTTTCATAAGCCAGGGCAGTGAAAGACAAATACTGTATGATCGCTCCTATAAGTGGAACCTATTCAACAAAACAAATAAGTAAGCAAAATATAGCTAGAGATGGTGAAATAAAGACAAACTGACAGTAACCAGAGGGGAGAGGGATAATAGGGGAAAAGAGGGGAAGGGTCATCAAGGAACATGTATAAAGGACCCGTGGACAAAGCCAAATGGGGTAGGATCGAGGGTGGGGGTCAGGGGAAGTGGTGGGGGGAAACAGCTGTACTTGAATCATAATAAAAATAAGTAAATACAATTGTTTAATAAAATAAAAAGACTGGTTAACAACAAGGTTCGATGACTCAAATTTGAAGTGTAATCACATTCACTTATAAATTCTCCAAGAGAATTTCCATTATCCAACTTTGTTGTCTTCTTGTACCTCAGAAGTAATAAAATGTTCAAATAAGTAGCAAAATCAAGTAAATAGAATGTAGTGAAGCAGACTAAAACATATGTGATGTCTTTTCCTCCAAGGTTCAAGAATCAGGGGACGTGATTACAGAAGGTAGGATTCGTGTGGTTTTCAGCATTCCCTGTGAACCCAATCTTGATGCTTTAATACAGAACCAGCATGTGAGTACTATAGTCCATATCGTTTAATTCAGAATTGAACTTTAAAAATATTAGAAGGGTATTTTTGCCACTTTCTTTGAATTTATTGCAGAAATAATTATTGAATACTGATTAAAGTCTCTCACAGTTACATCTAGGATTATTTAAAAATAAGTGCGAACTCTACTCAGAACTTCATGTAGAGCTTTGCGGGGAAGTCACTGAAATCCAATTATTAAACTATTATGGTTATTATAGGTTATTGTATTCAAGGTTTTAGGCAGCACATTGATTAGAATATCCTCTGGGAACAAACAGGGATTATTTTAAAGTTTCATAATTAATCGAAGCCTACATTTTTAATTACAATGACAAATGGCCTTCCTGCACAAATTAAACATCTCTATTCAGCTAAAGATGAACAGTCCCTTGAGGAAATTAGGAAATTACATGTAAGGTCACAGCGTCCTTCCTCAGGACATATTTCTCCAAAGATGTTTATTGGCCTCCTTTTATTTTTCCCTGTTAGAATAGGGTGAGGATGCTGATATCTGTCATTTTTCTTACTGATTGGATAATTAACTTGACTAAAATTAATTCACAAGTGGCCAGCTGTTGCTACTTTTATTTTCTCTTATGGTAAAACCCAAAACTTTATATCCTGTGGAATGAATTTAAGGCATTACACATTTAGCATACTTGTGAGAAAACTTTATGGAAAGCAGAAAAGTTCCTAAAATCTTACCATCAGGCCTCTTTTTGGGGAAGAATCCAGAAAACAGTCAGGAAACCAGGTGAGTGTCCCATGAGGTAAAGAAGTTGGAGTTCTGTTCTGGAAGTCAGTGAATGTGAAAGAACTTTAATTCATTCCTTCATGCCTGACTTTTTCTAGACCTGAAGGAGTCTGCCCACTTCTAGTGTACAGTGTTGCTAGATAGGCCTTCTTCAAGATACTTAATTTTTCTTAAGTACCTCTAACTTCTGTTGAAGCCTTCTTTCTCTTCTCTAATGCTCTAAGCTGTTTATTTTACATGTTCTAGGATATTTGTGTGGTTTTAATTAACTTTAATTATATTATAACCAAATATTTCTCAAAAACGATTTCTATTGGTATTTTGGGCTGGACAGTTATGTCCTTTATCTGGCAGGACAGTTGGCATCCCTGGCTCCTGAACACTGAATTCTAGCAGCCTGTGCCAATTATTGTGACCAAATCCTTATTAGAAAAGTGGTACAATCTGTGATAGATATAACTCCTACCTTAATTTTTACTATCTATTCTGGAAAGCATGCTTGATTTGTCTGTATTGTTTCTAAATCCGGTAAGGTTCTTCATGGAGAAACTCATATTCTTTACTAGCCTTTTTTTTTTTTTTTTTTTAAAGATTGTATTTATTTTTAGAGAGATGGGAAGGTAGGGAGAAAGAGAGAGAAACATCTGTGTGTGAGAGATACATTGACTGGTTGCCTCTTTCACGCCCCTAACTGGGGACCTGGCCTGTAGCCCAGGCATGTGCCCTGATAGGGAATCAAATCAGCGACCATTTGGTTCACAGGCCGGCGCTCAGTCCACTGATGCACACCAGCCAGGGCAGCTAGCCTATTAATGTATTTTAATAGTATCTTTAATAATCGTGGCTGAATTAATTCCTTACCAATCTCTGGAAGTTTTGTATTGGTGATAAAATATCCTTATATTCATATAAATGTTTATATAAAATACATAATTCATGTAAATACAGTACATTTCTTTATTTTATTTCTCTATTAGTATGAGTATAGTACATGAAAGCCATATAAAATAAATGTGATCATTTACGTACCTATGTTAGAAGTATATGGTAGCTTACCGTAGTAGTTGGTACTGGATTTTCAATTTGCTTCCTGGTTAAAAATTATGTGATCTGATACTTTTTAAAAAAGTTGACAATCTGCATGATTTTTTCCCTTAAGATTACATTTTATTGACTGTATTGATTATAAGCTTATACATACTTGTTATTTTCATGTGATTGTAAATATTTGGGGAAACAATATGTCCATATATGAAGGATACTTTTAATTTTGATCAATAGCAGCTATTTTGATGAAATACTCATGTTTTACTGATTATAATAATTATCAAGGCCTCATTTTGTCCCAGGTAATTTACTAAGCCCTACTTGGGATATAAAAATTAATTTTTGAAAAATATAATTCTTACCTGCAGTGTTCCCTATTTAGTGTTTCAAGTAGAGTTTATTTCTTGAGACAGTTTCACAGACTGTATACTTCCTTTTCCTTTTACTGGTCCTCGAGAATTCTATCCTTTAAGGAGGAGGAGGAGCAGAAAAGTTCTGCCCATAGATCCTTTTAAAAAAACGGGAAGTGATCACTTACTTTTGAGAATTTTTATATAGCCACAATCCAATGATTAATCTTGTCTTGGTTACCTCCAATTTTAAACATAAAGAAATAACATTTAATGCTTTGTGTTTCTATAATTGACTTTTTTGTTTTTATATTTAAAGAAATATTCTATAAAGTACAACCCAGGATATGTGTTGGCCAGTCGCCTTGGAGTGAGTGGATACCTTGTTTCAAGGTTTACAGGAAGTATTTTTATTGGAAGAGGATCTAGGAGAAAGTAAGTTTATGTTAAAGAAATTTACTTAAAAATGGCAGGAAAAAAATTGAATGATAAAGATAAAATGGTTAATATTTCAGTATATATTTTCTTTCATTAATTGCTCTGACTTGTCCTTAAAAATTATGCATAAAATCCTCTGATGGTGATATTTTATCTAAATGACACGTTATAGGTGGTTGAAAAGACCGTTGTTATTTTTAGCAGCTAACAAATTGAACCTTGAAATAAGGTATCAAGATGTGTGTGAATCTCAGTAATATATTTCCCTGCATTTTCTTATTTCACTCTCTTCTGTAATTACATAATATATGTTAACTGTTAATGCTTTGTTAACTTGGATTTTGAAGCCTTTCCCCTATTTTTTAAAATTACCGCTACTTTGGAAATAACTGATAACTAAAATACAGAAGATAATCAAAACTAAGTTTTCCTAAGAATTGAAAGCAAAACCTTTTGTTCTTCGAACAAAATTTAAAAGCGTGTGTGTGTGTGTGTGTGCGCGCGCGCGTGTGTGTGTGTGTGTGTGTATGTGTGTGTGTTTTAAATTTAGCCCTCATGGAGACCATAAAGCAAATGTGGGTTTGAATCTGAAGTTCAACAAAAAAAATGAAGAGGTACCTGGATATACAAAGAAAGTCGGAAATGAGTGGATGTATTCATCTGCCGCAGAACAACTTCTTGCAGAGTATATAGAGAGGTAAGTGCCAAACAAGATGCTACTGGGCATCCAGAAACATAGCAATGTAATAATAATTTTACGTTACTGATAGCAGTTTTGGAGGAAAAATATTTCTTTTAGGAAAATTTGACATGTGTACATATACATTTTTTTGGCATTGAGAGAGACTTATTTAATTTTTTAAAAAAATTTTAATTACAGTTGACATGCAATATACTACGTTAGTTTCAGATGTACAACATAGTGATTAGAGATTTATATAACTTTCAAAGTGACAACCCCCAAAAGTGTAATACCCACCTGACACTATACATACTTCTTACAATTATATTGACTGTATTCCCTGTGCTATATTTTGTATCCTCGAGACTATTTTCATAACTGCCAATTTGTATTTCTTCATACCTTCCTGTTTTTCATTCATACCCACAGCACCCCCCTCATCTGGCAACTTTCAAAATGTTCTCTATATCTATGAGCTTGTTTCTGTTTTGTATGTTTATTTTATATTTTAGATTCTACATATAGGAGAAGTCATGTGGTATTTGTCTTTCTCTGCGTGACTTATGTCATTTAGCATAATACCCTCTAGGTCCATCCATACTGTCACAAATGGTAAGACATCACTCTTTTTTATAGCTGAGTAATATTCCACAGTATGTATGTACCACATCTTTTTTATCCATTTTCTATCAATAGACACTTACGTTGCTTCTGTATCTAGGCTATTGAAAATAATGGTGCACTGAATATAGAGGGGCATATGTCTTTTCAAATTAGTGTTTTGGATTTCTTTGAATAAATACTCAGAAATGGGATGGCTGAGTCACATAGCAGGTTTGAAGAACCTCTATACTGTTTTCCATAGTTGCTGCACCAATTTACAATCAGACCAACAGTGCACAAAAGTTCTCTTTTTTCCGTTCTGACAGGTGTGAGGTGACATCTCACTGTGGTTTTAATTTGCATTTCCCTAATGTTTAGTGATGTGGAACAACTTTTTATGTGTTTATTGACCATTAATATGTCCTCATTAGAGAAAATCTGTTCAGATCTTCTGTACTATTAAAAACTGACTTGTTTGGGTTTTTTGGTATTAAATTGTGTGAGTTCTTCATACAATTTGCATATTAACACCCTATTGGATCTATCATTGGCAAATATCTTCTTTCATTAGATGAGTTGTTGTTTTGTTTTGTTGATAATTTTTTTCCTCCATCCAAAAACTTTTTATTTTGATGTTATCTCATTTGCTTATTTTTTCTTTTATTTCCCTTCCTTAAGGACACATACTAAAAAAAAAACATCATTACTGAGAGTGATGTGAAAGATTTTACTGCCTGTGTTTTCATCTAGGAGTTTTATGGTTTTGAGACTTAAATTTTAGTTTCTAATGCACTATGAGTTTATTTTTCCATGTGCTGTAAAAAGTGGTGTGGTTTCATTTGTGTGTGTGTGTGTGTGTGTGTGTGTGTGTGTGTGTGTGTGTATCTGTCCAGTGTTCTCAACACAATTTCTTTAAGAGATTGTCTTTATCATAATGTGTAACCCTGTCTTGTTTTTGAGAATTGGTTTAAAAAATGTTTTTCTGGTTTGAGAAACCTACCAAGACATTAGTTACTGTTAGTAATCGTTAGTAAAGCCACCAACAGACAGGTACTCTTCTGTTCCCAGTTTAACGAAGTGCAGATTTCTACAGAATTACCAACGTACAAAAAATAATGTTGATCGGATTTGGTGTTCTTATTTACTCATCTTTCCAATACCAACATCGTTTCATGTTAGCAGTATTGGGGCAGGAGCTGTTAGTTACCTCAACCATTGCTGCACTGAACGCCCATTTGCTTGGTTCCCACCCCTCTTAGCCCTGTTAGAAGAGCTTTCCAACCACAGCAGTTGTCCGGGAACAGATCTAGCCAAATGACTACTCTGAGCATTTGTTTTGAGGGAACAGTGGATTGGCATTCTGATCTGGGGACCAGGACGGTGAGCTGGGACTACAGCAGCTCCTTGGCCCCTCCTCTGGCTACCTGTGCAGGAACAGGGCCCTCCCGCCCACCCACCCACGTACCCCATCCCTACACCAACCAGAGGGGACAGATGAAAGGCCAACACTGCCCTTCAGCAACTGTGTGCCCCCCTGTCTAGGTGTAAGTCTTTATATAGCAGCCCGATGATACTTTTAATAGTTTTCCCTTGTAATTCTAGACACAAAGTACATTTGTTATAAACAGTGATTAAAAAAAAAACAAAAACGGAATTGAAGTATTTGGAACCAAAGGGAGAAATTGTTAGAAGATACAAAGTTTCACAGTTGCTATATTATTTGAGCAAATTGTTTGTTTTTTACAAATGAGGTAAGAATCTCAAGGGTGAATCAAGATTTCTGTGAGTAGCAGGAGAGTGAAATGGTTTGCTCCGACTCTAAATTGGGTTGGATGGGGGAAGTGGTATCTGGAAAGATATGTGAGTAAATAAAACTACAGAAAGTCCCAGCTTCAAAGGCAGAAGCACTGTCTTAGATTAAGGAGTTCATAGCAATGCCTCCCAAATGGCAGTAGGATTTTACAGTAGTGCTTCCTAACGTGTGGTTCCTGGGATGCTGGGGTTGAGATAAAGAAACTAAGATTTAGAAAATTGTGTAGCAATTTTGCAGACTAATTTTATGATTATTGACCTTAATAAAACACTTGGGATTTTATTTTGTATGTATTTTTCCCTAGAAAGTTGTTTTAGTTGTCTTTAAAAAGTTAAAAACATTTTTCAGTTACAGTTGACATTCAGTATTATATTACTCTTGGGTGTACAGGTAGTGATTAGGCATTTACATAATTTAGATCAAGTCCATAACTCACCTGACATCATACACAGTTATTGCAAATTATTGAATATATTCCCTATGCTGTACTTTACATCTCTATGGCTATTTTTTAACTAGCAATTTGTACTTCTTAATCCCTTCACCTTTTTACCCAGACTCCCAAGTCCCCTCCCACCTGGCAGCCATCATTTTATTCTCTTACCTATTTTCTTAGTTTATTTATTTTGTTCTATTTTTTAATTAAAAAAATTTTTTTACTGTATATTTTTCCATTATCTTCCCTCCTCTTATCTTCCGTCCCCAGCAACCACCACCCTGTTGTCCATGTCCATGAGTCCTTTTTCCTTTTTTGCTCAATCCTTCCACCTCTAACCTCCCCACCCGCCCTTACTGTCATCCCGCTCTCTGTCTATGAGCCTCTCTCTGTTTTCCTTGTTAGTTCAGTATGTTCATTAGATTCCACTTATGAGTGAAATCATGTCGTATTTGGCTTTCTCTGTCTGACTTATTTGCAGAAAACCATCTAGGTCCATCAGTGCTGTTGCAAATGATAAGAGTTCATTCTTTTTTATGGCCTAGTAATATTCACTAATATTCTATTGTATGTATGTCCCACAGCTTTTTATCCACTTGTCTATCGATGGACACTTGGATTGCATTCATATCATGGCAATTCTAAGTAATGCTGCAATAAATATAGGAATTAATTTATATTTTCAAAGTAGTGATTAGAGTTGCTTTGCATAAATACCTAGAAGCGGGATTTCTGGGTCTTGTGGTAATTTTGTTCTTTAAGTTTTGGCTATGGCCCCATACTGTTTTCCATAGGGCCACATCAATTTGCAATTTCCAAGTCCTTGCCAATAGTGGTTGCTGAGTTATTGTTCATAGCCGTTCTGACAGGTGTGAGGTGATATCTCATTGTGGTTTTAAGTTGCATTTCTTTGATAATTAGTGATGTTAAGCATCTTTTCTTATGTCTGTGGGCTATCTGTATGTCCTCTTTGGAGAAATGTCTGTTTGGGTTCTCTGCCAACTTTTAAATCTGATTGTTTCTCTTTTTGGTGTTAAGTTGTATGAGTTCCTTAAATATTTTGGATGTTAATTCCTATCATTGGTGAATATCTTCTCTCTTTCAGTAGGTTCTCTTTTTGTTTAGTTGATAGTTTCCCTGTGCAAAGATTCTTTAGTTTGACATAGTCCCATTTGTTTGTTTATTTTTTTGTTTCCTTTGCTTGAGGAGACATTAAAAAAATATTACTAAAAACTATGTCAGAGAGTTTATTGCTTATGGTTTCTTCTAAGAGTCTTATGGTTTCAATTCTTACATTTAAATCTTCAGGCTATTTTGAGTTTATTCTTGTGTCTGGTATAAGAAAGTGGTATAGTTGCAATTTTTTTGCATGCATATGTCGTTTTCCTAACACCATTTATTGATGATACTGTCTTTATTTCATTGGATATTCTTGCCTCGTTTGTCTTAGAATAATTCACCATGTAGGCCTGGATTTATTTCTGGGCTACTCCATTGGTTAATGTGTTTGTTTTTATGACAGTACTATGCTGTTTTGATGGCTACAGCCTTCTAGGATAGTTTGATATCAGATAATATGATACGTTCAACTTTGTTGATCTTTCTCAAGATTGCTTTGGCTATGCAGGGTCTTTCATGGTTTCATGTTCATTTTATGATTATTTGTTGTGGTTCTGTGAAAAATGACATTGGTATTTTGATGGGAATTGCACTGATTCTATAGATTGCTTTGGGTAGTACGGACATTTTAATAACATTAATTCTTCCTATCCATGAGAATGGTATATGCTTCCTTTTATTCCTGTTCTTAGTTTCTTTCTTCAATGTCATAACTTTTAAGAACAGATCTTTTACGACCTTGCTTAAATTTATTTCTAGGTATTTTATATTTTGATGCAATTGTAAATGGGATTTTCTTAATTTTTCTTTCTGATTGTTCATTATTGGAGTCTAAACATACAACCAATTTCTGAATATTAATTTCATATCCTGTTAATTCGCTAAATTCATTTATCAGTTCTCATACTTTTTTGGTAGAATCTTTAGTATTCTCTACTTGTAATATCATGTCACCTGCACACAATGACAGTTTTTCCTTTTCCTTTACCAATTTTGCATTCCTATCTTTTCTTTTCTTTGTCTGATTGCTGTGGTTAGGACCTC